AGAATAGTTTGTTAAAGGCACCTCTGGCTTTTGATAACCTGTTCTTCAAGTCCTTCATACCATCACCCTCTCTACAAACTTTGGCCCCCAAGTACACGAACTCGTCGACATCCTCAATATCCTGTCCATTGATTATGGAAAAATCTACCAAATTTTATTTTAGTTCCAGATTGAACGAAGGCATGGCAGCTTTTATACCCAGAGTACATTGCTAATTTCTAACAAAATGACAGTATAAACGACCCCATGACTAACAGTGAATCGCTCGGCTCAGTCCTCTCTCACAAGCACAGAAGTTTAGTCAAGGTATCCATAGGAGCAGGAACCTGAACAGAGTTACCATGCTTCACTACCAGTCTAGTGACTTCCGTCAACATGTCAAGGAAGTGATGACGATGATGATATCCCCTCATCACTTCCACCAAAGCCTATTGTAATAATAATTGTAGACAAAAAAATGAGGAGATATCACAACGGTCACTCAGATGGACGGGGGCTAGGTTAGCAAATCACGTTTTTAATAACATATCAGTCTAAGAATTTGGGGTTAAGGAGGTGCAATATAATTGGAAAACTCGTGGAATACACAGGCTTAAAATGATCTCAGATCGAGTCAGCCTAATGTCATCAGTGCAGAAAAAGTTTTTTTCTTGTCGCCTCGTTTGTGTATCAAAGTTTCTCTTCGCTTAAAGAAATCAAGTTCTACTTGACGGAACTGTGTTTACGATAATTTCAAGCTCTCGTAGCTCTTTGAACTGGAGCTGGTGTCTAACAATAGAAGGCCAGAACAAACTAACGAGGCATGAACCGGGCATAGCATTTGGGTTTAGGTCTTACACTTTCTTACCTGTATAAACCAAGTGCCACGTGCTAGATCTCGATATGATACGTAACCCGGCGTAGAGGCAAAGGCCAAAACAAAGTCAGCTTCCGGTGGAAACACACTCCTTGGGAGGGTGGAGTCAGGACTGAATGCGGTATGAAATGGCTGAGTGCTTGCCTGTGCATGAAATGTCGTTGCAACCACCTGTGAATTAATATCATTAGCAGATGAGGACATAGAACACGTATCAGTGTCAACTCGACATCCTCTGCAAGATTGGATGATAAATACTTTGGGCTTATGCCTAAGGGATGGACACTTTTTTCCTTGGTACTCGAACATCAAATTCTTCACGGTTGTCTCCCTTTCGTCGACGCCCAGGATACAATCACGATCTCCCTCATGCGACATGACGATGAACACGAACGCGTTATACGCGCTGTGGTTTACAGCTCCAAATTCCTGCGCCACTTTTTCCAACTTGTGACTGGTCAAATCCCTTCTGATGACAACTTTAAAGGAAAGAGCCTTGAAGAGATGTTTAAGGTTTTGCTCGTCTTCTTCGGCTCCTGGTGCT